CTGTCCACTTCTCTCCAGTAATACGCCGGGCCAACCTGACTGTGTCCATCTTGCGTTTTCCTTAGTTAGAAAACTGTATTTTGTTTCCAACTTGTTTCAAGGACTTCATGTCCAGGACAGACTGGCCCAGCCAAGGACTCTACTTGCCCTGCCCCTCCTTCCCAGAACGTTAAACAATTCCTTTTAAGTAAACCTGCCTGACAATGTATGACATAATTCTTGTAGTCCACGTAACCAATTATGTAATAACCTGCAGTCAGCTTTGTACTTCCCACTCGCAAACCATATTTAAACTGAACTCAAACCTGACTTGGGGCTGGTGATTTGAACCTCGGTTCCACAGCCTGCTAGCATAATAACAGCTGCCTTCTAACTCCTTGGTGCAAAGAGTCTTCCACTGGGATTGATATCGGTTTTTCTGCTACACCAGCACCACAGCACTTACAGAAATTTAACGTGAGAAGGAACAACAACCACTGCAAGGCGGTCAAGGAACGCACCTGCCCTTGCTGTATGTGATTCCATGGCAGGCAGCTCTCAGCCCGGGGCCAGGCACCTGTTCCCTGGAAGTGAGCCTGTGTCACCCCCTCCACTGGTGCTGCTGCCGTGACAGATGCCTGGGGCAGAAGGGAAGGCAGTCCCTGCCGGGAGCAGGTTATGGAAAGGTGGTGGCTTCTGCCTTGGAAGGCTGCTCTCTGTCTCTCTGGTCACTTGCTCTGGGTGGGCAGAGGCCCTCCAGGCGGCCGTGGGGATGATGTGCACACGGGAGGAATGGCCTTGGCACAGGGCCTGCGGGCGTCAGGTGAGGGACCCTGAGGCAGGACCGGCCAGCACAGCCCGTCTCTTTCCCCACCCTTGGAAGCTGCTTGAGAAACTGTGATAAAGAGCCGCTAAGAGCTGGGGGTGGTGCCGCCCACTGGGATCTCAGCACTCAGGAGGCTGAGGCAGGAGGATCCTAAGTTCAAGCCTGGATCGGGCAACTTAGTGATTTAGTGAGACTATGTCTCAAAAATGAAAAATTTTAATAAAAGGCTGGTGATGTGGCCCAGTGTGAAGGCTCTGGGTTCAACCTCCAGTATGGAAAGAAGAAAAAGAGTTGCTCAGTTTGGGGGAAGTTGTTACGTAGCAGCAACAGATAACTGAGAGAAGTACCCATACCAATGTAGTGTAGTTATAATCACATGTAATTATGAGGAAAATATGTACCACTTTCAGGATAAAGAGTACTCCGGGGACAAGCTGGCTGCAGAGCATTTCCTAAGCTTTTTCTTGTATTTTTATAACAAACTTTTGAAGAAAATATATCCAAATGTTAACATTTGGGGGATCTGAATTTCGGTTTTTGGACAGGGTCTTGCTATGCAGTCCAGGCTGGTCGCAAGCTCATGGTGATCTTCCTGCCTCTGCTGCCCAAGCACAGGGATTACGGGTGTGCACCACCACACCCCGCTAGATTTGAAAATATTTGCAAAAATGTGTTTGTGTCCTGAAAGTGTGCTGACTTTCCTCCTCTTTACTCCCTGAGTAGCGGAGGAGAAGCACCAGCTTTGCAGTGATTATTACATGCAACCTGCAGGTGGTTAAGGTAGATGGGGAGGTGCACACGTTACATGCGATACGGTGTCCGTGCAATTTTGTTGCCACGAGGTGCCTTGGAACCAATTCCCCATGGAAACTGAGGGACATGCATGCTTCCTCATAGTTTATAACGCCTTATTACTTAAAACATTTCAGAGTTAAACATAAAGTCTTACAGAAAGGCCGGGCATGCACTCCATTTATTACAGTGCTACGAGCCCCGGCTGGCTGTGTTAATTGCAGCCCTGGGGAAAGTCATTGCTTTAATGGCCACATAATTTGTGCTGACGAGGACACGGGTAGCAGGGTCTATTCCCACAGCTGGCCAAGTCGAGTGTTTAAGCACCAAGACCTTCAGTGCATCTGAAGCAAATCGATGAGAAGACGCCATGTATAAGAGGACCTGACCATTCGGGGTGAAACGTGGGAGGGGAGGTTCCCCAGCTAGGGACACCCAGGAGTAAACTATTCCCCGCGGCAGCTCGCCTGGACAAGGCTTGGTCATTACACCCTCTGCAGGGTGAAGTGGATGCGTAATGGCCGTTGCCATAGCAGCCCTGACTTTAGTGATAACTAACAAGAAAGCAGGAATTATGGGCAAAACTGTCGTAGATTCCTTACATTTTAAAGAGGTAAAACACCCACTGTCAGGAACTCCAGGGACACTTCAGGTCGCCCGGTCCCACTCGCTGCTGCAGAGAGGGCCCCACGCATGGCCGCCTTGCAGCGGGGAGGGCTTTGCACTGAGCAACTGCTCCACGGGCAGAGCTGCCAGGTCTGTTCACCCACAAATAAGCCCGAGCTGCTGTTTAGGAAGCTCCATCGCCATCTCCCATGTATGCACAAGGGCCTCAGGGGTCCTGTGTAGAACACAAATCGGCTGTACAGTGGGGATGCAATGTTTTTCCTTTTACCACTGCTCTAGGGCTGCGGGTGTAGCTCCGTGGTAGAGTGCTTGCCTAGCATGCACAAGGCCCTGAGTTCAGTCCCCAGTACCACTAAAAAACCCAAAACAAAACATCACTCGCTTCTGGTCTCCAGGTTGTTACTGAACTTTCAGGAACGCTAGTGTGTTGACACAAAAATGTGCAGTGTCACTTACCTATTTATATGTTCAAAGACCATGATTCGGGTGTGAAAACACAGGTGAAATCTCAGCCAGGCACAGTGGAATATGCCTGGAACCCTAGCACTCCCGAAGGCTGAGGCAGGAGGATCTCAAGTTGGAGCTCAGCATGGGGAATTAAGCAATGTAGTAAGGTCCTGCCTCGAAAAAGAAAAGGACAGCAGACACAGTCCCACTGGGTTCAGTCCCCAGTACAAGAATTCTCAGCTGGCCAGGCAGCACCCTCCCTGTCTCACCATTCTCTCTAATGTTTAAGGCTTTTTTGTCCATCAAGTTTGCAGTTCCTTTCTCTCAGCTGCATGGAGGTCTCAAATCTCGCTCTCAGCCCGAATCTCCTTCTATTCTACCTCCTTGTGGTCGGCTGTTTCTAAACCCAGCCGGTTCACTCTCCTCTCCCTTAGCCTCTCCCAGCAGAGCTTTAGGGTTTCATTCTGTTCCTGACCCCTGACCCCTGACCCCGTCCAATGGATCAAAATGTTTTCTTTTTTCTTTTAAAGATACACAGTTTCAAAACACGATGACAGGAAATTCACAATGGTGGTTGTATTGCATATTGTTATCATCAAAGTAGTTGTTCAGATTACCAGATACAAGTATGCAAAATTGGTCAAAAAAATTAAGAAAGGAAAAAAATTAAGCATTAACTGTTCCTTTCAATAAACCAATAGAAATTAGTAGTACAATTATCTTAGCTACCTTGTGTGTGTGTGTGTGTATACGCACCCATATATATATATATATTTCCCCCTTCCTTCTTTCTTTCTTTTCTCCTTTCCCTCATCCCAGTTGTTCTTTCTTTTTGAGAAGTTTCTTTCCCTTTCACAGTATCTACTGTACTTTTTGAATTTTGTTTACTCTTTTCAGTTTCTTACACTAGGGAGACAATACGATGCTTACACTGATTTATTTCACTTATGAGTATGGTCTCTCAAAATGTTCTGAAGCCCTATTGTGAAGTGCCCCAGCTGTCCTGGCCTCCTCCCGGATGCAGGCTCTACATTCACCGGCTCCAGCAGCTCCACCCCACGTCATTTTGCCCCTCTTGCCTTTCATGGGCCGGCAGGGACCGCCAGTCCTAAGTCTAATCCTCCCCGTAAGCCAGACCACGTGGACGCAGCACTGCTCTCTCTGATGGCAGTGTGGCCTGGGGCTCAGCCCCATTTCCTTGTGATCACCTGCCTGGTCACATGCTGGACCACGACATGCCCTCACCCCACGCTAGCCTTTCAAAGGCATTCTACCAGAAAAATGGCTCCAGGGTCTCAGTATTTTAGGATTTTAAGAAAGAACAATGATAAGTATTTGCAATGGGGCATCAAGAATACAATGAATATTGCAATTAAAATTACAGTAAGACGCACTGCCAAGAATCTCCCTCAAAATCCTTCCCCTCACTTTGAACACACTTGTCCCACGGTCCTGGCCACCTTCTGAAGCAGCTCTGGAGTCCACTTTCCTAAGTGTCTTATGACCAAAACTACAGTGACTGCTGCTGCCCAGTGCCACCCAACAGAAAGGCAGCTCATAAAATCATGACGCCGTGTCCTCCTCCACCTTCATTCACCGGATCAGGTACCACGTGACTTCCGGCTCCTCCCCACAGTCAGAATGACCACAAAAGGGAAACATTTTGAATTCATTTATGACATCAAGGCAGCCATGACAGCGCAGCTGAAGACCCTCAGGAAAGAGGACTTCAGAGCTGCTGCAGGAAGTGGCCAGGACGATGGGATGAGTATTTTGGAGCAAGAGGGATTCATAGCAACGTGTCTTTGACTGTAATAAATTTTTCTTATTTAAACACATAGTTTTGGTAACACCTTGTGCTTTTTATTTCATAGTGAGACTGCTTCAAGGGGAAAATATATGCAGCTTGTCAATGAATTTTCTTCTTTGTTTGGCTTTAACTGTCAAAAAACTAATTCATGGGCTAAGGTTGAGCTCAGTGGGAGAGCACGTGCTTATTAGCACATATGAGGCCCTGGGTTCGCTGCCAGCACCCAAAACACAAAACTGTATTTCAAAAGCAAGGCCATTGAGCACGTTTCCAGCTGGTGTGGGCTGGGGCTTGCAGCTTCCGGTTCAGCACTTGGGCATTTGCAGTGCAGCCGCCACTGGGCTGAAGGTTTCCCAGGGACGCTGTCATCAAACCCTCTCAGCAAGCCCGGGACCCATTTCACTGACAGGATGTGATCACAGGCACACATCAAACAATCACATGGCGCTGACGTGCCACCCAGGACATGTCCCGCCAGGACACCTGCACTGCCCTCCCGCCCGTCACGGGAACGCTTACCTGCACAGGGGCTTGCTGCAAAGCCCACCCTCCGGCGAGCTCGGTCAAAGACCACGTAGAAGCCCTCCATCACCGTGGCCCCGATCACCAGCGCGTTGGTTGACGGGGAGATGCCGAAGCGGTAGCACTCGTAGTTCAGGCCGGCGCCCACCATGGGCTGGATGTAAAGCTGCTCATGCAGAGAGGAGGAAGCACAAGGAAAAGTGCGCGTCAGGCCGTGCCAGGGAGCTGCGGAGGCTGCACCATGCTCAGGGCCCCAGGGTGCACGGGAACCTCGGAAAAACACGACGACAGCCCGTGGTCTCAGGAGATGAGAAAGAGAAGAGCATGGCGACAAGCTTCTGGGGGACGTGTGAACGTGAAACGTGAGACTGCCACGCCACTGAAGGGACAGGGATGCGAGGAGAGACACTTCCTGGGAGGCACACAGGCACTCCTGCATCCTTCCGCCATGGTCAGTATGTGACCGACACCCGAGGGAGGAACCTCATGCACTTCTGCGCACAGGCAGGTGAGCCAGGACCACACGGACCACACAGAGGTGGAGGGTGGCTCCCGAATGTCACACACACACCCTTAAATGCCACCATTCCATAAGAAATCCCACCACTTAACAAACAGGAGGTGTGACTGAAAAATAAGGCGTGTGTTTAATTTTTTACAGTAATAAAACACATTGCCAGGAGTCTCCCTCAACATCCTCCCCTTTGCTTCCAACACTTATCCCACCATCTTGGCCCCTTTCTGCAGCAGCTCTGGAGTCCTCTTTCCTGAGTGTCTTCCGCTGCGCTGTCCTGGCTGCCTCAGTGTCCTGAGCGTTTCCCTTTCATGGTTGCTTTGACTTGGGGTAGGAGCCGGAAGTCACACAGAGCCAGAGCCGGTGACTGAGGTGGATGCGGACACAGCCGCCTTCCTGTTGGTGGGGACTGGGCAGCAGCACTCACTATATCTCTGATCACATGTCATAAAGACCCTCAGGAAGGATTCCGAGGGGAAGTCACAGCAACGTGACTTTCACTACAATCACCTTTTAAACATCAGCATATATTTTGATCACCGCTTGTACAGGGCAACGGACATGGATGCCAACACCATGCAAACCCGATTTCCCTCTTGTAGCGGGTCCCGTGTGCCGCGGCAGACGACAGCCAGAACTCCCAGCCACACATCTCCTAACGTGCTAGGAAGCGTCAGTCTTGTTGGGGCTCAGAATAAACTGCCTTAAACCAAAATAGCACGAACAGAAAAACCCGTGACATTCAGACGGGACGTGAGTACACTGTAAAAGGTCTTTTTATTTATTTTTTGAAAAGAGAAAAATCCAACTTCCCCAGTGTGCCAGGTGCTGTTTTTTGTTGTCATTTTTCTTCCTGTCTCAGCACACATGGATTTAACTCACGCGTTTTGGGGAAATACCGCTGGGAACGGAGCACAAAGGCCTGATGCTGACCTGTCTTCCGCACTGGCACTTGTTTGCCCACTGAAGGCTCCGTGGAGGGGACTGGACCTCAGATCCCGGGGACGGGAAGCCCCACCACCACCCAGGGTCAGGATGGGGCTGCGGGGTGAGGTCACCCTTGGGGGAGCGCAGCGTGGCCCTGGGACCTCATTTCCCTTTGGTTATCTCCACCCTCCCCACCAGGGCAATGGGTCGCAAATCCGACATGATGTGGGTGAGAAACCAGGAAAACAGGCCCATAAAAATCAAAACCGGACAGTGCAAAGCCATCCTCGAAAATATCTCCCACTTCCTCACTACGAGTCACACTGAATTGTGCAATGTGAAACATCCTCGGACCTCCTTCGTTACACCCCGTTGCCCAGTGCCTGGCCCCAAACTGGGGGAGGACCCAGCACACGCCTGCAACTCTGAAATTCCTGAGGCTGAAGCATGTTGACCTTCATCCTCCAGCCGGGGGACACGGTGCACAAACCACGTGGAGGAAACCACATCCGAGCTCCGCTCTTCATCTGGCTGAAATGTCCTCACGAGGAGCACGGTGCTTCAAAGAGGCTGTGAGTTTACCTAACATTGCTGCAAGCACCTAGGGACGCTGCCTTCACCCAGGAAGGTCTCTCAGCAAACATCAGTATTATTTTTCTGATAGCGAAAGACGCAGACACTGGGAGGGCTCAGGGATTTACTCAGTTACAGGGAGCCAAGGATGCAATGGAGAACGTAACTTCTTTTCCTCTCTGCCTTCCCTTCCTCTCCTTTTTGCCCCATTTCCTTTCCCTCCCTGCCCCCCCTTTTTTTTATTTAGTGGCACTGAGAACTGAACCCAGGGCTTTCGCTGTGAGCTACACCCTGGCCCTTTTTGTTCTGAGACAGGGTCTCGCTAAGTCATCCAGGAGAGACTCAAACTTGTGATCCCCCTGCCTCAGCCTCCCAGAGCGCTAGGATCATACCAGGCCCAGCAGGGAGCTGTATTTCTCTCAGAACTTTCTGCTCTCTCCCCCACGCACTGTCCACATGGACACAAAGCGTGGGGAACAGGCAGGGTTCCACCGCCATCCTCCTCTGACACGGCTCCTTTCTGCGTCTCCTTCAGCTCCATGCCTTTGCCCCCAGTCCATCAAATCATCATCGAGACACCGCTGTGTTCGCCCAACAAGTAGCTGCCCTGCTCCTCCCTTGACCGACTGCTGGCCGGGTCAGCACAGGCCAGAGGAGCCTGGAAGTCCACAGGCCCACCCTCACCCGCTGGGAATTCAGTCAGTGGAAAAAGAAATGCAAGATGATTTTTAAAAACACAAAAGCAGAATTCAAAACATGCCGTAGAGAAATGACCCCGCACCAGACGAGTGGCCTGGAAAATATGCATGATGCATTCCAAGGGCCAGCGGACAGTGGGTCATTCTGCTCAGCAGGCGTTCAACAGAAGCGAGGGCTGTCTGAGCTGGCCGAGAGGAATCTGGAGCACAGGAGGAGCGGGGCAGCGCTTCAGGCTGGGGCTGCGAGCTCGGGGAGGGAGGCCGAGACAGGCGGAGCAGCCACGGCTCCCCAGGGCCAGGACCGGGACTCTGCAAGAGGAGCCCGCGGTGGGGAAGCCACAGCAGCCGGGCAGGAGCCCGGGATTCAGTGGAGTGAGCATCAGCGGGGCGTGGGGGTTAACCCGAAAGTCACGTGGACCAGGGTGGGTGGGAGCCCGGGACCCGGGGGCGGTGGGCATGGAGACGGTGTGAGGGGGCGCAGGCCAGGGCGCCAGGGCCGAGAGCACAGGCGGTGTGCAGAGGGCGGCATGGCGTCGCGGCCGACCCGTCACACACTGAGGGGAAAGTAGGGGTCCGTGGGGAATGGAATTCTGGGGAGAAGCAGCAAAGTCTTCATCCCTGACAGCCAGCTTTAAAAAATCAAAGGCGTAGAGGCACGGACACTGGGAAGTGGGAAGAAAACGTTCAAATGAGAAGGACAACAAGGGAGCGGGAAAGGAAAGGAAGGGACAAGAGAAAAGCACAGAAGGAAAAACGCAAACAAAGCTTTGTCAATAGCGAGGGGCAGAGGGGTTAACGGGGGTGGGGCTGGGAACGGAAAAACAGGAGGAGCAAGATGTCTCACGTGCAGGTGCAAAGTCCCACGAGGAGCGTGAGCATGATGTATAACTAAAATGCACCAATAATAAAAGAACACGAGGCAATGTCTCACTATGTATTCCAGGCCGGCCCTGAACTCACTCTGTAGCCCTGGCTGGCTCTGAACTTGTAGTGATTCTCCTGCTTCAGCCTCCTAGGTACTGAAATTGCAGGTGCGTGCCGCCACTCCCAGCAGTTTTATTCTTTTTTGGTACAAGGAAAAAGTAGAAAACGGTGCTGTGGCAGATGTTACAAAAGCACCCTCAGCTCTTGCCCTTCCCGGGGGCCACGCCACTCAGATGTGGCCCCAGCCAGGAATCTGGGCCTGTCTCGGGCTCCAAGAACTGCGAGCTGGCCTGGCTGTGGATTCAGGAACAGCCTTGGACGTGGTCTTGTTGCTGTGGCAACAGACACCTGGGAGAGCTGTGATACCCATGATGTGCCTGTTGGGCATGAAGGCTTTGACTTTTGCACATTACATGTTAAAACATGAGAGAAGCCAGGAGCCGAGTCCATACCTGAGGCAGGATGGTTATGCGGAAAGACCGGCTGGAGTTCTCCTCTCGAAGGTAGATGGAAATCTTCGGGAAGTAGCCCCAGGGCGTCTCCGAATTCGTCCAGCAGGCCAGCTGGGCACCCGTCCAGAAGCCATCAGAGAATTCTGGAATCTGGACAAGACCCATCCAATGAGATGCGGCCACCAGCCTGGCGCGTCAATAGGCAACACCGCCATTCACTAGATGCCCGCGGGGATGACCACTGCCTCGTGTGGATAGAGCAGTGGGACAGCAGTCCCCGGAAGACTGACGCGGTGACAAAATAATTATAGCAACTGCTCAGACACAGGCAGCAAGGGCAGCACCGGGCAGCCTGATAAATGCTCGGCAGCAGTGGTTCCTGCTGGCCTGGGAAAGCCCGGCCATGGAGGGGCAGCACCCCTTTGCTGCACAGAGGAGGAAACCAGGCACAGAGAGGTGCTGGAACTCGCCCCAGGTCACACAGCCATCAGCAACGGCCTCTTACATTGTAAGGCAAATCGTAAATGTGGCAGAGGCAGAAGGTAGCCAAGGAAGTGGCTGGGAAATAAAGGAGGGTCCACTTTGGAGTAGATTTTGGGGACTGGACGCCCTTCTAAGTTAAACGCTAGCCCAGGCCCAAGAGGCCCAGGTCTGAACACAGTGGGACGAGGTAACCGGGTAGCTCAGCTCATACACAGTAGGTCTCACACATGCGCACAGCGGTCTTCTGCAACCCTTGGCGACCCCAACCTTAATCACCATATCACTGGTTATGCAAATTTGAGCCCTGTGGGCTGTGGACACCATGACAGCTCCTCTAAGGGCCCCACAAGGTCAAACACTCCACTGCCCGATGGAGGGGCTGAGTCAGGCTGCCCACGGCAGGAGTCACACCTCCGACCAGACCCTCAGTCCCGCCCCAAACCCGAAGGCTTGAGACCCTCAGCACCGAGCTCCTTGGTGTTTCGAGCTCCTCCCACTGGCCTGCTCCGCCCTGTGGAGCGGATCCTGTCTCTCCTCTTTCACATATGTCACTGACCTGCTGCCCTGGTGTCCTGCTCAGTTCCATTTAGGACATCCGGATCCTGGGGAAGACCCATCCCAGGAACGCGGCCCTGAGGTCCTCTCGGGCCCCACCTGCCTCCAGATCCCAGGGCTCAGCCCGCTCCTGGCTCTTCTGGACCTGGAGCACCTCATGCCAGGTCACCCTCGGCCCCTCTCTTGCTGAGGCTCAGTCTTGTGGCAATTCACAATGACACTTCCTGGGTGACAAGCATCTTTCCTGCATGAGGACAAAGTCCTCTCAGCCCGAGATGCTTGCCTGTCCCCACGCGGGCCCGCCATGCAAGTGATACCCAAGAAACGTATGGGGAGAGAGGAGTAGCACCCGGGCACCGAACGGCAGGGGCCAACGAGGCAGGATGTCCACTGTGCCTCAGGGCAGCGACGCCGCGGGAACCTGACTGCACCTCCTGAGTGCAGTCCGCAGGGCCTGGCTGGTGTCCAGGAAGGGAGGACAGCACCTCCTCCAGCCCCAGCCGTCCCGGGACAGCAGGACTGCGGTAGAAGAGGGCTGCCACCCAGGGTGCTTTCCAGGAAGAAGATGGGCCTAGAGTCTAGTGCGAGAGATGGAAGCCCTGGGAGGTACGGTAGGCAGAGGGCACCCCCAGGGTCCCCACAGGAAGCTGCCCATGGCAGAAGGCTGGGAGGGACGTGGCGAGTGGGTCAGCAGTCACGTGCCCACCCTCCATGCCTGGGAACTGTGCGTGAGCGCCCTGTGGTGACTGGGCTGTCCCCGGGAACAAGTGTGCAGCTCGCCTGGGCTCTGGTCCCCTGCCCCAATTGAGGATCCCCCACAAGCACCAGCAGCGAGTTGGTGGGTCCGACACGGGCGGTACCGAGAGGCAAGCCCTGAGGTACAGGGTGGCCACAGGCACTTGGGGGGTGGAGGGCCCAGGGCAAGAGTCACAAGTGACAGGACAAGATGTGCCAGGAGGGGGTGCCGGAGGAAGCAGGCTGTCACCTACGGCGTGGTGCCCAGCGGGACAGAGAGGGCCCTGTCTCCCACTCACACCCCTGAGCCGTCAGTTTCTAAGGCTGGTGCTCACGTATTTTTGCTTTTTAAGGAAACGAAGTTGATCTGAAATGCGTGTCACAGGGAAGGGCCTTCCCCAGACCAGCTGACAGGGAGGAAGGGCCACCTTGCTGGACATGGTGGCAGCCTGTGACCACGGGGTCTTTACTACGTGGCCATGCGCTGGACAGGGTAATGGGATCTGCCAGTCAAGGGCAGACTGCACGTGTGGTGTGGGTCCCCGGAGGTCGGAAAGGAGTCTGGCAGGTCCCATCCCCAGGGCCGCCACAGTCACTGCAGTAGTGGCGCAGCGCTTGACTCCTGAGCGTGTGATGCTGGGGCAAATGCACCCACCTTAGTGCCAGGTGTACAAGCAGAGCAGCCGCAGTTACATACAGCCTGTAACACTGCAGCATGCTAACAGATGACTACTGATTTATGTGCTTACGACACTACACTTCTCGTGGGTATTTTAGAGTGTGCTCCTTCTACTTACTAAAAACAAAAAATTCACTGTAAAACCGTTTGTGCGCAGCAGATGTACATCTTGCGCTGCCTGCGTCCCTTGGGCGGGGTTTGTAGAAGTGCTCACAAAGATGTGAGCCTAATGACAAAACTGTCCAGCAAGGCACTTCTCAGATCACACTCACATGATTGTCGTTACGTGGTGGATTATTTTTACCTCAGATGAAATACACCACATCGTTATGGCTTGTATCTAGTGTCTCCCCAGAGCCTCAAACCGGAGCTTTGGGGAGTGTCTGGGTTACGGTGTGTGATACTGGATGAGTCCACTGGTTAGTTTAGCATTGTTCTGGGTGTGGATGATGGATTTCTGAAGAGGGACGCCTCACCCTGGGTGTGGGCAGCATCAACCAAAGGGTTTGCAGCCTGGATGGAATAAAAAGGGGAAGAAAGAAGATCTGCCTTCTCCTGACTGCTATGCTATGAACTGTTTCTCCTCTGCCATGTGCCACCCTGCCTTGGAGCCAGCCGACTACAGACTGAAACCTCCACAAACTCCGAGCTAAATAAACCTTTCCTCCTCTAACTTGAGGAGACCAGGTACTTTGTCTCAGGAAAGAGAAAGTAACTACGACATACATGGACTGGGCCAGGTCTCCTGGGGTTAAAATGAGGGCGTTGTAAGCCAGGCATGGTAGCACACACCTACAATCCCAGCACTCTGGAAGGTTGTGGCAAAAGGACCCCGACTTTGAGCTCAGCATGGACAACTTACTGACTGAGTGAGACAGTCTCATAAAAAAGACTGGGGATATAGCTCAGTGCAAATGACCCAGGTTTAATCATCCCATATTGCAAAGACAAAAAAAGGGCATTATTTGCCAGTGAATGTCACAAGTCAAGACTGGGAATCATTTAAGTAGTATTTTATAGAAGCCCACCCTTGGGCGTCTTGAAAGCACAAAGCGATAGTTCAGAGACGCAAAGCACGTGAGCAGCTGGAGACTCACCAGGGAAGTGCGGGCCACGGCGTCCACCACGGCGTCGAACACCTTCTGGGGCAGGCGCAGCAGCGTGGTGCCGCTGTCCACGATGGCCTTGTCTGCGTTGTACTGCAGCCGGGAGGGGAGAGGGCACTGAGTGACAGCCACATTCCACCCGCCTGTGCCGTGCACTGTCACGTGCACACTCAGGCAGCCGCACGAGCTCGCTGGGGACGAGAGTTCACCTCGCATTCTCAGAACGAGGGCAGCAGGGAAACTGAGGCCCACTGGGGGGAAGCGACGTGATTACAGCGGACAGCCATCCCTGGGCAGAGACGGGCTGATTTGCAGCAGCCTGCATTCCCTCATCAAGGACCTGGCCCCTGTCCCTGCTGCAGAGGGAGCACCCCCCCATTTGCCTTCAGACGTTGGAATGACCCAGTATGAGCCACTTCAACAAACTGTACAAATGCCACTCGCTAATTTCTTCCCAGTGGAGGAAGAGGAGGACAATCTTTCCCTAGCTACTTATAATCGGGGGTGGGGGTGGGGTGGGAGGGGGATTTACTAACAGACAGACACACGCACAGACACAAGATCACTTCCACAGTGCGGCTCCTCTTGTCTCCAAGGCCCATGTGGGTAAAGGTTGGGTCTGCAGCCCTTGGTGCTACTGGGAGGACAGGGGACCATTAACCACCCTAAAAACGGCACACACAACAGGGGCTCCCTCCAGCCGCCGTCATCATAACGTCCTAATGCACCACAAAGAAGCCACGACCAAGCATAGCTCTGTGAACACGGCTGCCCCCAAATGGGGCTTCACAGCTGGGAGCATGGGCACTGCCCGGACACACGCACATGTAGACCTCAACTTTCTCAGGTCAAAGTTACGGATGCAGGAGGCCAGAGGGCTAGCTTTTGCTGGAGGATAAGCTAATGACATTTTACAAATTTGGCTTCTTTTTGTCTCCTTTGTCCCCTCATACTGATAAAAATCTGCTTATTTTACTCTTTTCTACAGAGTTTAGGGACCATCAGGCCAACGGGGCTGGTGAAAGGGATAGTAGTTGGACACAGTCCTCCTTGCTGACCTCTGGACATTAATTTTGCTCTATTAAAGTCCAGCAGCGGGACAAGGCCACTTTAGGGAGGGGGACGTGCTGACTTCTGCACCCTGCTTCCTTTCCTGGAGGGGGACGCCTACCCTGTCTTGCAATGGTATGCACCTTAGCCTTTAGGCATGGGGTCCAGCTACGGTACCGGAGTACCCAGGTCCACTCAGGTGTGACACAGACACAGGTACGCACCTCTCTGCAGTCCAGGTTCAGACTCTGGCCTCCAATTTCCAGTTTCAGAATTTCTATCTGGTAATACCATTCTTCCTTAATGGGGGTATACCAGATGTCTCCTTTATACAAAGTTGGTTCAATCCCGCCCAGGACCTGGGAAAAAACAGAATGACAGCTATAGGACAAGGACATACAGGTAATCAACCGTTTCCCCATGGAAGCATGCACCTGCAGGGTGAAAGGTCACCAACGTCACTACTTTCTCCACCACTGTGACGTTCTCAAACACATACAGGTGCTGGGAAATTAAACAGGGACCGTTCAGCAGACACGCCTTTACAGACCACACAACGCCGTGTCCCAGTCTTGCCAAGATGCTCTGTGCTTTCCTTCCTCTGACAACAGCAATACACCTTCAGCTGTATGCACTGAGACTGCCCCTGAATCAATGCGACAGAAGAGCTACGCACACTGCCACAGTGATTTAGTACCTCCAGAGCCAGACAAGAGGAAAGGGGACACAAGGGATCTCTGAACCAAAACATCACCCCCAAAACCGTATCGTGTCACCTCATACACCTTACGCAGCTCTGCTTCCTCAGAGGGGATAGCGAAGGGTTTGGAGCAGGTGGACTGGGGGCAGTTGACAGTGACCGAGGAACTGGTGTGGACTGCAGGGGCTGCTACACTCTCCCTGGGAGGGGGCCTTCTTGCGCATTCTTTCTGCCTCCCACTTTACATGTCTCTATGCAGGGTCCCCAAATAGAAACTCAGGTGACAGCACACCCATAGGGCTGATGGCCTTGAATCTGTTTGGGAGAAAATACCTCTCTGTGTGGTGTGTGCACACACTGAGACAGAGGAAACCGGAAGGGAGGGAGAAGAGGAGAAGGACGGGAGAGAGACGAAGGCTGTGCAAGGGTCTCTGTCTTCCCCTGCTACGGCAAGTGGAAGCACCAAAACCACGCCCAGGATTTGGAAGCAGATTTATTTACGCTGCGTTGGTGGTACAGTGGTGAGCGTAGCTGCCTTCCAGATTTATTTACATCAATAGGCACTGATTGGGATCACTCCCAGAATATCAGGCCCTGATCTCTGGCAGTCTAGGGCTTATATGGGATATGCAGACAGGAAGTACAGAGGCAGAATGGCTTGTCAGTTGGGGATTGGTTCATACACTGTGCATCACAGTGACCAGCTGTTTTTAAGTGACAGGAGCAACCAGATCTGGAACAGGTACTGTTACCTGCGCAATTATGAAACTGAAGTATACTGACTGGGGGGGTTGCACTTTCTGCTACACCTTCATGTGACATCACAAGCATGGCCCCGAAGGCCACAAGTGCCTTTTCCAAGTCCCCACTATTCTTGGCTCACCCCTCTGGGACCCACTGTTCACTTTCCCAGGACAGTAAAGGAATTTGGGGGAGAAATGGGAATCATTCTAGATGGCAGGACAAATGGGAAAGATGAAAAGAAGACCCAATTGCACCCATTTTAAAAAGGTTCTGTAACAGGGATTATCAAGATTTTACAGTACCTATACATGCCTATGTGTCTGAGATTTCTGAGCAGGTTTTTAGGAAAACAGAACAACCCCCATCAAGTTGTGATTTTTCGTCCCTGTAAGACTAAAAGATACCCACAAGACTACCTCCGTTGGTACCCGATCTGGCTACTGGCAATCCGGCCCCACACATCTGCATGGAGAAGACGTTGGGGATCTTGGCCTGTGTCACCAGGGAATCAAAGAACGTCTCCAGGGAGCTTGAGGGCTGCAGGAGGGGAAAAAGACAGACAAGAGCTTCCTGACTCAGCATAGACAAGGGTGCCACAGTGTGGGGTCCTGGAGCAGAACTCCGCACACTCTCCAAATGTACCTGATATCAGGACGTTTTATACTTGGATCATGGTGGGGGGGTCTCTCTGAGGACTGGGTGGGCCTGGTGGAGACCCAGTCAGAGCTGCCTTCTCAGGAGGGGGCAGAACGGGCGGCAGAAATGCTGCCAGGCACTGAGGCCTGGCTTCCTCTCCCTGATTACTGTCTCCCGATCTGTAAAATGGGATAATCACTGCCTGCCAGGCCATGCTGGGCTACAAGTGGGTTGGTCTGCATAATGTGCCTCCCACATGGTCGAGGATCTATGATGCCTCCAATCATTCTGCAGCAGCGCTGGGCCTTGGGATGCCCAAGGGATTACAAATGGCACAGCAGCTGAGGCATGGCCTGAGAAGGCCAATCCTGCAGGTGGACAGGTGCCGCAGGTCTGCAATGGGGGAAGCCACAGGGTGGCTGTGACATGCAGCCACGATGGACGTGCTGGGGATGAGCGGGGGGTCAGCACACGCTGTGAGCCCCGCTGAGGCTCGGCCCTGTTTCAGATGCCCAACCACCCCACACAACCCACTCCCCATAAATCAGTCTCTGCCTCCTCCACCCTGGGAGTCTAAAACCACTTGATAAAAAACTCTTGGAACTACACAGAAGAAAAGATGAAAGGTCATGTGGAGAACACCTCAAAGGAATTTGCTGCCATGGCAGTTGGACACATTATTAATTACACATTATTAATTATAAATAATTTAGGTTTACTCTGACCTCATCAAGAGAATTAGCGTAAGATCAATCCTGCTCACATCTTTCATTTTCAAACAGTCACATAATCAGGAGATATTCTGCTCAAGGTCATGGATTTAGGAATGTAAATTTCTACCAGTCTGTAGATCTATACAGTCAGCTCTGCAGAACTGAAGACACAGGGGCTCCCACGCCTGCGCTGGCTCTGCACCTGGGCCTCTGTGCTCTGCCTTGCGCAGGGCAGGGTGTGCCTCTCTCTTGGGGTCCCCAGTGTCCACCGTGGGGAGACCGTGGCCTTGCTAGGAGGGGGAGGCACAAGTGCTGAGTGTATGTTCTCACCTTAGTGCCCTATGGGACTGGGTAATTATTATCCTTTCTTCCTGGGAAGCCAAGCTGGGGGTTCCCCACCTGCTCCCCACATTGCATCAGCTGCTCATGAACTTAAGCTGAGCACATGCTCCATAGGTTAGGCCTTGGACGTTCCTTTCCACACCATCGCGGGCCAGCAGGGCCCATGGCTCTGCAGCTATGCTTCCTCCTCCCTCGCTGAGCTCTGGTGCAAAGCCTGGGGCTGACCCGAGCAGCCAGGGCACAGTGCCGGGGCCAGCAGAGGTAACCCCGGTGTCACTTCTGCCATGCCTGGCCACGCTGCCTGGTGCAGCTCCTTCTGCACACTCAGGGCCCCAGGGCAGAGATCGGGAGAACATCGCATTCTGTGTCACCCCTTTTTATGAAGGCTCAGATGCTCCCAAGGGATCTCCCATTTCTCCCTGGCTCCCGCTCACGGTGGGGCCAACCAATCCCACTTCCAGTCCCTGTGTCTCCCCCAAGGTCTCGCAGGTTGAGGTGAGAAGACTCCTAAGGAAACTCCTTCACCGATGTGATTCACATTCTGCTAACATTTTTTTTAAAAGCTACTACGGAACTAAAAATAAACAAAACCAAAATAAAAACAGTCCACGCTATTATTAGTATCTCTTCTAGGAAGGCTCAAGGAATTGTGCTGCGTGCCCGAAATGTTATGTCTATTTACAGGGCTTTCCTCGGCGACCGTCTCCAAGGACCGGTCCCTCCACGGGCAGCTTGGGAACCCCACCCCGTCGCGGGATTTACTTCAGTCCCTGGATCCGACACCTTACCCTGGCCAGCGTGGCGTACGCAAGCCCGAGGATCCCATTCCACTTAATCCCAGGCAGAAAGAAATTCTCCGACTCAAAGATAGTGGCGACATTCACAAGAAAGGAACTGTTGAAGGCTTTGGGGATGGTGACCACGTCCTCGCCCACGAAGCCCGTCCAGCTGCCTTGAGTGTACTTCACGGTGACGTCGAAGCCCTTGGACCGGTACGTGCTGGATCTGCAGCAGGAGAAGAGCAGCCCATCACTCTCCGTCCCCGAGTCCAGGGTCTCTGACCCTCCCAGGACAGAGGTCACCACAGCAAGGACAGCTGTCCTAACACAGGCCGGCGAGGTCAACTGTGAGGGACTCTGAGGGTCGAGGGTGACAATCACTGTGGGCCACAGCAAAGTTCCCCGGACATGATCACTAATACTCACAGACACTGTGGTGACACTGTGACACTCACGTGCCTCTGAGGACTGGTACTAACAACCAGTGCTTGAGTTTAATTAGCCCATGCTCCTGTCACGCCTTGAAGCATGAGCCTGGAAGGACACACCCAGCTCTGACTACTTTCCTGCCCCACCCCGGGCCTGGCTTTGCAGTGACTCCAGCTGCTGCTCTGTGACCCAGGACAGGCCAGGAGGAGGCGCCGTCAGCCTGCCACAGTAGTGACTGGGGTGCAGATTCAGACATACGACCCTTACGACGAAGAAGCACCATGCGCAGCCCCAAAGCCAGGGCCTGCTCTGCAGAGCCAGCGCTGACTGTCGCTGACGTCACAGAACTCCTCGGGCTTGTCACAGTGCTTGAGAGCTGACGATAATCCTCACCCGCATATGGACAGTGAAGCTCAGACTCTGCACACACGCCACTTCAAGGGCAGAATAACAGGAACAAGGGCAGGTGTCTTAGTTACTTTTCTCTTGTTGCTGAGACAAAATACCTGACACTCAAAATTAAGGAAGGAAAGGTTTATTTAGCTCACAGCTTGTGGAGGTTTCAGTCCATAATCAGCTGGCTCCAAGGCAGGGCGGCATGGCACAGGGGCAACCGTTCAAGGTGGCAGAAGACAGCCAAAGCAGTAAGAGCAAAAGGGGAGGAACAAGACTCTTTTCCTCCCTTATATCGTAAGCGGCTACTTGCTCCGAGGTGGGTCTAGCGCTCACACAATCTCCAGGCCCTCCTCTTGCAAGGTTCAGGATGTTTATAAAGTGAGGACCGGGGTCCCCTGCTGAGTCAATTAATTAAGCTTCTAAACTTCTCGATTTTCAAGTTGACAAAGTGTATCCACCATTACAGAGGGCAAGGGGCAGGTGGCGCCCTCTGCAGGTGCACCCGAGTGTGCGCAGGCGATGGTTGTGTGCAAACACAACTTTCGGCACGGTGGGGCAGAGCCTCCAGGCCGCCAGACAGGGCAGGGAAGAGCAAGGGACCAGCAGCCTCTTGTATGAGGCCTGCATGATGACAAAAAGCTGTGTGGCTCTCTGGAATAGCCCATCCTGGAGAGAGGTGGGCAGTGTCAAGGCCCTGGGGTTTCCAAGGCCACTGTTAGACCCAGGTGAGTTTGAAAACTAAGGCAGATATCTGGACATTCATCCAGAGTCCCCCTAAGGAAGCAACCAGATTCCTAGGATAAGCGTCAAAGCACCAAGTACACACTTGCAAAAGGTTCCAGCTTGCCAGAGTTTCACTTCACTGTTTTGATAGCTAGTGCCACACACGGATGAGCTAGCGCCTCTCCCACAGGAATGTAAGCACTAGCGCCCTCTCACTAGGGGCCAGAGAGGAAGTCAGAATGATCCGGCCTCTTCTTTGTGTGTTATTTTCAGTACATCTCATAAGCCTTACACATACCAACCGTGTTTGACTCAGTAAATGCACTTCGGAGCATGTGATCCCGAGGACAGTGCAGGAGGAAGACAGAGGCTCTTGTACAAAGACAGTCACTGTGTTTTATCAGTAACAGCAAGCAGTGGAGACAACCCACAGGCCCAGGAAAACCGAAGCAACAATTCGGCAAATTATGAGCCATCCGAACGACAGGTTACTATCTAGCAATGAAAAATGGTGTCTATGAAGATGTTTTACATAACGGAGGAGAAAACGAAGTTAGAAGAAAAATGTACACATGTGACAGAACCTACTTGAAAATTACTCATCCCGGTCAAGCGTCAGTGCCGGATGCCTCTGGGAGGGGGGGCTTTTTATTTCTGTGGCTAAATTCTTTCACATTCTCTGCATGTAAAATTCTTACAACCAGGAAAAAAACATTATTTCGAGCGTGTCTGGTAAACAAGTCTTAGAGAAATTTAATTTATTCTAACACGATAATGAGGTATAGATGATGAAGAATGCTGAATTTTAATATCGGCTTATTATTTCCGCTCGCTCTGCCGGGGCCTTAAACGGAAAGACATTAAATGAATGTGCTGAGGGCACACATCTCCTGAGAATGAGCAGCGCAGACGGAGGGGTGGAAGCAAAGCTGAGCTCTGGCAGACCCACCAGCCCTGCCCAAGTGGGCTGCCCGGCGCATCTTTTCCACGTGGGTGTTTGGTGGTGGGTGTGTCTGTGTTTGACACATTTGAGTGTCAGTGCAAATTCAGATGTATCTGGCACGCAGATGGAATGCACATTTATGTTGGGTATCAAGAAAATACCGAATTATCCAGGCTGTCTTGACACTCCAGGGTCACTCCCGAAGTTCAGAAACACACTGCTGCTAACACCGAGAAGTGTTGGGAGGGTATGATTTCACGGAGGGGTCACACCGTTTTTTATGAAGAGCCCCTCCCCCCAAATTCTAGGCTCTGCACACTGCGAGCTCTCCGTTACAAATGCTGGGCTCTGCAGCTCTAATGCAGAAGCAGCCGTAGGTGATATAGAAGGGAACGTGTGCGGCTGTGTTCCAAGTAAAACTTTATTTGCAGAGACCGGCCGCAGGTGAGGTTTGGCCCATGGCAGGTGCTGTGGTTAGGATCAAGAATGTCCCCCAAAGGTCTCACAGGCTGAAATTTTGGACGGTGACAGGATCACAGAGGGCATGTTACTGACTTGCTGATAGGAGGTGGTGTCTGCTTGGAAGAGGTGGGTCACTGGGGGAGCGGCCTGGAAGGGTCTATCTCCTTGCTTGGCTCTTCCTGCTCTCTCTGTTTCTCTCTCTGCTTCTGTCCACCATGATGTGATCCTCTCTCCTCCGCCAGACCCTTCCTGCCTCAAAGCCCTCTGACTATGGAGTGTGTCTTAGTTACTTTTCTCTTGTTGCTGAAACAAAATCCCTGACACCCAGAATTAAGGAAGGAAAGGTTTATTCAGCTCACAGTTTGTGGAGGTTTCAGTCCATACTCGGCTGGCTCCAAGGGAGGGTGGCATGGCACAGGGGCAACCGTTCAAGGTGGCAGAAGACAGCCAAAGCAGTAAGAGCAAAAGGGGAGGAACAAGATTCTTTTCCTCCCTTATATCGTAAGCAGGCTACTTGCTCCGAGGTGGGTCTAGCACTCACACCATCTCCAGGCCCTCCTCTTGCAAGGTTCAGGATGTTTACAAAGTGAGGACCCTGGCCCCCTGCTGAGTCACTTAGCTAAACTTCTAAACTTCTCAAGTTGACACAGTGAACAGCATCCTAGAGCACAAGGGCATGTCCTCTATACTTCAGGATGTAGTACTGCTGAGTTACTTCCTTAAGCTTCTAGACTTCTCAAGTTGACACAATGTATCAGCCATTACAGAGTAAAACTGTAGGCCAAAAGAGACCTCTCCTTGAAGTTGTAGGTGTCTGGTATTTTGTCCCAGAGACAGAAGGTAACTAAGACAGCTAGTATGCCACTCCTTGGTCTAGTACATTAGTTATCTTCCTCGAACTATCTCACCTGCTATGGGTTCCTTTTGAGCAAATGTTTTACTTCCTCCAGCCTATAGCAAAGTCCTTAGAATGAGAAACTGAACCAGCCTGGGTGCTGAGCAAGCATGTCCTCTCCAGGGTTTGCCCAGGTTGCCCGCCCTTTACAGGGAGCATTCTGGGTGTGTCAGAGCCATTCGCAGAGAGGAGAGGTAGGGGAATTACAGCGTCTGGGTTCAAGTACAAGCTCAACTGTTCTTCTGCTATATAACTGGGACCAAGCTATTTAAATCCCCAGTGCCTCAGTTTCCTCAACTGAAACACCAGGATGAAATATTACTATACTTCTTGTTAATTATGCAGCTTAAAGGAGTTAATACAGTAAAGCACCGAGACACAGCTTTGGAGCACAACAGGTATGCAACAAAAACAGGTGCTATTATTATAATTATATATTAATATTAATTATATATTAATTAATACTATATTATATAATTAATCATATAATTATATAATTATATTAATAATTATATAATTGATGTTATATTACATAATTAATTATATATTAATATAATTATAATTATCTAATCATCACTTGCTATCTTTGTCTAATCTGTGAGGTTAGAGATTAGAAAACTCAACTCTTCCCCTAGAAAATGCTCCAACAGAGTAGCTTTCACTGAGTGCCATCCCTTCTAACATCTGACAGCTCCCGTGAGAAGGGGCACCCATCCCCCTGTGAGGGCAGCTTTGCTAAGGAGGCTGCTGGGGGCTTTCAAGCCCTTGGGCATTGGGCTCCTGAAAGGTCAGGTTCCTCTGCCATCTGGATCAGCGCTGTCTCCGAACGGAATCTGCCATGGTGACAGCAACGTTCCACACTGGTGCTGTCCAATATGGCGCAGTCCTTGAACACTTGAAAACGTGAGGACGGTGTGACCCCGGAACTGGGCTTTTATTTCATTTAATTTTAATCAATTTAAATTTAAATAGCCACAGCGCTCAGTGGCCACCCTTGCAGAAACACCATCGCAGATGATGTGAGACAAAAGTGGTCCCGAGCGCACGCGCTCTGGGTTGCATTTACTAATCCTTAAAGAGTGCAACCCCAGAGAGCACTTCCAAGCTGCTCTGCAGGTTACAGCACAGTTTCCAGTTCCTCAAATTTAAGAAAAGGCCCAACTTCATTTTCTAACAGCCTATGTCTTGGAGCTGCAGTGCTTTGGTCCTCAGCTTCTCGGCGCATTAATGAAGGGTAGGGAGAGATCCCGGTGGGCTTCTCATCCGGGTGCTCAGGAAGAGCGATCAGTCAAAAGCCAGGAACAAGTCTGTTCACAGCAAGGAGAGCACTTCCAAAAAATCTGGAAGACGCTGCCCTGATCAGCGAGTCCGTGGAAGG